GGCATTATTTTCTTATGTACCTCCTCCTTTAATATTACAACCCTCAATCTACTTTTCATTTATCTTTTACTTTTCTTTATGAATACTTCCTGTTATTTATTTCCATTTACAGCCACGACGGATAAAACTCAACTGAAAGTATGCAAACCAAAATAGGCCCTCATTCTGGAAAAGGAGTCCAGATAACAAGTCCATTTATTGCCTTCAGTTTGGTTAGGTTGGTGATTGCCCAGTGCCTCAGCTTGGCAGAGAAGAGGGAGGACTGAGACGAAGGGGGACGAGAGAGATGACTCACAATGTTTATTTAGCTTTGTCATAGATTCCCAGAGCATGAAAGTATCCATTACCAAAAGTGAGCAAAATTCACACGGCTAGGGAAAAAGGAATGGTTTGAGGTCACAATTCATCGTGACTCATCTTTCTAAGCCTCAGTTTGGATCTAAATATTCAAAGTTGGAGCTAGAGACTTAAAAAGAAATTTGGTTTTTTGACCAGTAGTATATGAGAAAGCTCTTTAACTTATGCCATTTACCCTTTGAATGGTTGCTTGCATGGGAAGCCCAAATCAATGTTAAGCTCCTCTTCGTATCTAAGAAATGATGGTAACAAGATTCTTAAAAATATGTTAACAGTGGGAGGATGCTGGGGGCGCGGGAGGGAGAGCTGGAAGTCAAACTCTTAGAGTGGTCCTCCATTATTTTGGTGGTAGCACAGATGGATCTCTTAAAATATTAGAGCAGGGCCCTACATTTTGTTACAAGTTCCATGGTATCTTAAAACCCAAGATTCCTTCTGCAATTACCTAAAATGTAAATATTAAAGGCAAATGTCTTTTGGGTGTGGCATTTATTTTTTAGACCCAGAAACCCTTCTTAAATTGAAATACTCCTATGAGAGATAGTATGATAAGCTAGTGTAATAATTAATACTTTTTTCAAGGATTGAGTAAATAAATTTCTGACGAAGTTAAGAATAAGATGAGAAAAAGGACAAAGCTATTTTGATGGGGAAGGGAGTAAGCCAACCTGGCTTCTCTGAAACCCTTTCCTGTCTATCTCAAGGACGACATCAATTATTTGTCACACTGGTCTCATAGCATCTTGAATATAAATATATGGTAATGTTAAATATGTCATGTAACATGTATTATGGTAATACGCTCTCATGTCCTTGTCTCCCACATTAGAAATGATGTCCTCGAGGATGGAAGCTATGCCTCTGTACCGCCTCGCACTCCAGCTCCCACTCAGTTACTGGCAGGTGGAACACTACCATGATTGCTTATTAAACCCAAGTCATTCCATTTATTTTATGCTCATTTTACTAAGTTGAACTAATTTTTTAAGAGTGAAATCAAACATTTGGAGCAAAATAATTTCACCCATTCTAAGGTCAGTGATAAAGTCTATAAATGAGGATGAGGACTGCACGAGAAGGTTGCATTATACTCTGACTTGGGTTTCTAACATCAGATATACGCCCGCACTTCCAGGTTCATGGAGAGACAGTTTATAAGAAAGAACGTAACAGCCTTGCCTAACCACCTCTCTGTTTGCTATACTTTCTTGCCAGTCAATTTGTCTTTAGATTAAAATTGTTACTGAGGTGACAGGACCATCAAGGCCATTTTCAGGAGAGAGAGCCCCATTCGATGCTGGTAGCAATGCCGGTGGGTGATGGAGTTAACGAATAAAAATCATCTCTAACAGCATAACTAGATCATAAACTAAGTCAAATAAAATGAATGAATTAATTGTTTAATGGGGATACTGGGGATTGAACCCAGGACCTTGTGCATGCTAAGCATGCACTGTACCACTGAGCTATACCCTCCCCCCCAAATAAATTAATTTTTAATTAAATAACTAATATTACTTAGTGATTCTAATATAAAGGCATATTAGAATACTTCCAAAGCAACTTCTCTGAGAAGGTCCAAGTGATGAATGAATGTTAGGGTGGTAATTCCCTAAACATCACTAGGAGAACTTTGAAAATTAGGGAACTGAGTGAGAAAGAAATGAAGAATGACCTATCCCAGATCAGTGGGTTGGCTGGAACAAAGCGTTACCTCCATGCCTCTTTTGTTGGAATTGCCTCAACTCTTGCTTTCTAATTTGAAAGACATTGTCATGGGAAGTATGATCTTCCAGTAGAACAGAGGCACGGCTCTGAGTGGTCTTAATATTTTTTTAAAACCACAACTTCTTGGCATTTAACATGATTGAAAGTAGAAGCAAGACATTGAGCAATTGAACCTATTCTGGAATCACTGTTCTTGAATACGGCACAGCATTTTCAAGTTATAAACTTTGTTCAATCATTTAGTTGAGGCATTTTAATCAAACATTCTATGCTCTGCTCAGGGACCTATATTAGGCAGTGAGAATAGAAGGTGACTGAAACAGACCCCTTCCTTCCAATCCAGAGAGAGAAACAGACAATGAGAAAGTCATGTCACAAGTGCCCAGAGGCTGGAATTCTGAATAGAGCCCTGAGTTAAGGGTCTACAAGAGAATGTGCTAATTCCCTGAGCCCTGACTGGTGGGGCTGGGAGACGCCTGTGTGAAGCGTGCTTCCTCTTAAAATCACAGTGGCTGCCCTCAGTGGAGGATATGGGTTTGGGAAGCCCTAGTTAATCCCAGTTAACCAGGCAGTTTCTTAGACAAGGTAGCTGTGCAGTAAATGTTCACTGAATGCAACCAGGAGGAACCAAAAGGCTAAAACGCAAAAAATATTCAGTAAGGATCCAAACAGACTCAAGTACACAGTTTAAACAAACAGGAATGCTAGCATGCTGTGTTCTTACCCCTATGGTTCCAAAACTTTCTGGCTTTCTTCTCATCTTTTTCTTGCACAGGTGCGTCCATATCCATTTGATCAGGTACCAGAGAGACTTGGGGCTCGGGATGACGTTGAAGGGAGTAGGCAGGGTGCCCCCTTCCTCAAAATAACTCATCCAAAGCTTTGTTCGAGCAAATTTCCACTCTATGTCTGCATGGTCCTGAGCAGGAAAAGATGACAACTGCTGACAGGTTTCTTAATTAATAAGGTGAGAGAACCCTCACAGAGAGCCGGTAACCTGACTTTGAGTGGCTCTTGGAACATTAATTAAATTGCTTATCAAAGCACCACCGACTCCCGGAGATAGTCACCTAGACGTTTCAGACAATGGCTGACCGTGGAGAGGAGCCCCCGCTCTCTTGCCACTTTTCACCCCTCCCTCTTCTCAGAAGCGGACATGTAAAGTAATTCCATGTCAAAAAGACTGCAGTGGTGAGTGGTGACTTGAAGATGAATCCTCACTTCACTCAGTGTCATTAGATTCTGGCCACGAGTGGGGCTTTATGTCTTACCCAAGGCCTTGAACCCCGACCTAGGTGCACGCTCACAGATTAGAATTCTGGTGTTTCCAGGAAAAGTCCTACCTGATATGCTTCCATGTGAATCCACCTTGCCCACCTTGAGGCAACAGGCATAAACTCAGAGAGAAGTTCCTCTAACAAATGTGTAAGAGGGCCTCTGACATGGTATTGACCTTGACATAAACTTGGCCAAAGAGGAGCATGGCTAGCAGCTGCCCACAAGCCTGAGGCCACCCCCCAATTATTTATTAATGATTCTACTTTGTGAGTCTCCTGGAAAAACTTAGGAACATTTGTGGCAATGAGATATGGGCCAGCCACTCTCCTCTTAAATTAGCCACAAAGCTTATTTAAGCAGAAAATCTGGAAAGTAGGAGGTGGTAGAAACTAGGCAAACACACATTTTAAGAATTCAAAATAGTTCATGTTAACCCATTAATAATATCCAAACGAACTCAGAATTTCGAGTAGACT